TCTAAATTTTTAGATCCAAATTTCTCTTATGTTCAGACTCTGATAGATGCCACTGATGGTTAATTAGAACTCTAATACAAATATTTATTTAAATTTTTCTTTATGAAACTCAGTTCCTAACTCTGGTAATCTATCAATGTTCAACCATTCACTTAGAAAGAAATTATAACTAAACTTCATTTGAATAATTTGAATGTGGCGAGGTGTCTGGAAACTAATCAACTGAAAATGTGTTTAAAAGGATAAAATTACTGATAAAATCCTAAAAAACGGATGTTTTCTGTTTGTATAAAAATCTGTATATATGCATATGCATAAGATACACACCACAAACAATTATTCAACAATTTAGTACATCTGCTGATATACATATGCAATAAAAACACATTTATGGTAAATAAAAGGCATATATGTACTTATATGGTTTATTATACTATTGTATGTGCATTTAGAAGTTTATGTACAGCCGCACTATTACTATTTATTTAGTGACAAAAAATGAAAAAAATCTTTTTACTCTTAATATTTTTTTATATTGTATTTTGTATTTTGTACTTATAAATAAAAGCCAGCAAGAAACTATCTGTATCCGTATTTATTTACAATATTTGAGCTGATTAAAGTATTTGTTTATCTGATTGAACACCTTTTCCTCCGCGAAGGGTTATGATTGTGCTATGGCATGAGTTGAGCTACGGCTAGGTGAGGTGTGGTGTGGTGTGTCATGTCAAAATATTGAGATAAGTTCAAATAAGACTATGTGCATGAATAGAGTATTTTTCCACTATTATCTTTAGATTGATTTGTTTACTGCTTTATCAAGCATTAGCGTCAGTTAAGCCGCAATTGCCCCAGATGCAGACAGACTGCTTTTACTGATAATACATTTAGTTTTATAATACCACGTACCTATGGTATATCAATTGATTTTTGTTAGTAAGTATTTCTTAATGCATTTGTAAGTAACGATATATATACTCATATATCTTAAATGAGGCATTTAAAAACAATTGCATGCCTCTTTGATTCTAATATAAATTTTTCTTTTGATTTCGAAAGAACTTCGCACACAAGTTAAGTGAACTGCCTATTCATCAACATGATTCTACATCCACAAAAACACGTGACTTGAATTGTATTTATTGATTTGCGCGATAAAGCATTATTGCTGTATAAAAGTAAAATAAAAAATATCTAAAAATATTTCGAAACAATATTTAGTAAATAACTACGCACCCATAAAGATAGTCAGACCAATCGACCGACCGACTTAATGGTATCGGTGTCGACTTGAGCCACAATCATTTCTGTAGTCACCAGCAACATCAATAATCTTCGACGGCGCAACAAAGTAAGTTTTTTATGAGTAAAGAAAAAATATAGCAATATAAAAAAAAAGAATCTACAAAAAACAATAAAATACAATGAAATGACAATAGCAAAGTATCTGAAATACGGCACACTACAAGTAAATGTGTAACTACAAGTATTTGTACATAATTGTTTGGCCATCGCGTCCACAGTAGATAATTTTAATGTTTTCTTTACCATAAAATAATTGTTATGAGCAATGATAAGCTCTGCATTAGAAATTTCTGATTTGTTTTTAGTATAAAACGAGTCTAATATAGATAGATAGATATATAGCTTCATGTATTTTTTATGCTCCTACCAAATAGGGATACCTCTCCATACTAGATACTCGTACATTATCAAATAAATATTGTAATTGTATTTTTTTATTTTTTAGTTTAATTGCAAAACAGTGTATTTCATTCTTAAAACTAACTTTACAAGTTAACCTATTATATTATATACATAATATAAAAATTCAACATATATATTAAATTATTATTAATTATTAAATTAATGATTACGGCATGGCTCGAATGCAATATTAAACTAATATTCTTGAAATAGTCTTGAAATTATTTCTTATATTTAATTATTCATAAATAATTTTTTCAGACTGCAAGTACCAGCAATCGAACTCGTGCCCTGCCAAATTTGAAACCTCTCTATAATTCACAATAGTTTTATAATGTCGGTAAGGAATAACAGGCTTCAAATTTTTTTTATTCTCTAATAATTAACTTTCAAAAATGTTATATACACATATTTGCTAATTTATTATATGTTATATACAACCTTAAGTTGAAATCTGACTAAGAAGTATTTTCATGAGATAATATAAAGATAACATTAGATTTATATTAGGCTCACATAATCAGGGTTAATCAAAAAACTCTTATATTACAATCTAAAGCCATAAAATGGAGAGGTATGTAGTATAGATAAGGAAGTAATGCAATACAATGAAATCATCATAGGTAAAATACACCACAAGTCTCTACTATTGCATGAATATAGTACATATATATAACCTAAGTGTTATAATGTATATTTTACCAATTTATAATAATACTATCTTTAATTTTTATATAAATTAAAAAAAAAACAATAACTTAATTTAGTAAAATATAAGATAGTATTAACTTCTAAGAAATTATTAGCTCATTGATTATGATCTGTTTCGCTCTTGAGTTAATACAATACATATTTATAAACGAACTATTCAGATTTACAGATAACAAAGAACACAATATTTTTATAGAATGGTTAAGATTAGCAATAATGAATATAGGATTATCGTTTTGTGAGGCTAACATATATACTACCGTACTATCAACAGAACTGTTAAACAAAGCATCATATCTTTAGTTTAATAATAGCTATTGTAGAACATGGATCATGTGAATGATCTGATTATTACAACTGATTATTAATGGATATGACAAGAAACCAAAATGTCACATCAGCAGCAGCGAAAATCCATTGAAGGCACGAAATTGAATCCAAAAATAATGGATCAGAAATATATGGGGTTTCAAAAGAACGATGCCAAAAGCTACACAATATGACCTATTTCAGTTTTATTGTGCAAGGGACTTCACGTTGTGAGTTGGACACCAAAATCATAGGATTAGTTACATCCCCGGATTAGTATCTATTGTTATTGCTAACTATATGCTATTACTTCAAAATGATTCAATATTGTGCGATGTCCTATGAAGCATGATTTGAATGATGTAGTATTTAATGCCTAATAGATACAAACAATGTATTGAAATAAAAGTTTAATGAAAATCATACATCAATTTCGCCCATTAAATATCCTTTGACTTGAGATCCGACATATTTTTTTACTTAACATAGTTCGAAAGTTATAGTGGGTCAAAATTAATTTTTACAAAAATGTTCGGTTTTTCGTTCAATGCGAAACGGTTGGGCTTTACTCTGATGCCTTTTCTCACGGTTGTTATTGGAAATACACACCCTACCATACGATCTGTTTTGTATTTAAAACCAAATAATAGTCCTCGGATTTTACGGAAGGTACACAGGACATGCTCTGTATGTCTTCAACAAAATCAGGTGAAACATGATGTTTTTTTGTCTGTTTTTTGACAAGTCTATAAGTTTTATTAAAAGATGTTTAATGGTTAGCTTAATTTTTTAAATAAAATAAAATAAAAATTCACGTCAATAATTATACCAAAACTATCATTTTAATTATTGTGACTTTCCAAGCCCTGAAGACGTATACATTTAAGCCAGTACGTATTTTTTTATTGAATAATCATTTTTTTGAAATAAAAATTTTATTAAACAAAACCTCATGTATTTATTATTCAAATTTAATCCAATCTTTTGCTAAATGCTAAGTATGCTAAATATATATCTTAATAAAATTTTAAATGAGTAATAATAATTACAGAATATATCAACTACTTAGCTTATATTAAATAAATTTTGTGAATAAATAAGCTCAACTGCGGTAACTAACAATAAATCAATAAATATCTGTGTGTAAATGAAGCTAAAGCTTAATGACAACGTAAAGAAAGAAAAGATACGCAATCGAAACGAATCTGAAAATGGGGCGAAAAATGAGTCGCTATAAAACCAAAGAGAAACTATCTACAAATACAGCACTTCAGCATATATATCCAGCACATCACAGTAGATATAGTTGCCAAGAAACCAACAGCAAAAATGTACATAACAAACGAACGAACAGAATTTAAAAACAATCATAGTGAAAACGGAAGAAATGGGGGGAATAAAAGAACAAAAACAATAATAACAAAAAAAAATAAACAAACAAAAAAAAACATTTTCAGCTGCCTCTTTGTTGTTGATGGATACAAAAGCAAAAAATAACTATAACCCACGATGGTGCCCCCCACCACCTAGAAGCTTACCTCTTACCCAAATCGATTTTTACCTGGATGAAATCATAGAACGTTTCAGATGAAGAGCGTCGCAGCGTCGCAAATAAATCAATAAAATCTATCTGCAACAGCGAACAAACGGCAGCACACAAATTTATATAAAAATAAGCAAAAGTCAATACATAACCACTTTTCGATACATACGAATCTATACATACAAACACATACATAGATCTAAAAACATATTATATGAAATTTGTTATGTGTTGTAATAAACAGAAAAATCCTGCGATGTATCTTTCATCTGCATCTATTAGTATATTGGCACACATATAGAAGTCTACATGCATTCTTATTAAAATACCACAAATACATGCTCAACAGTATATAAGCACAAATCCAAAATTTTATATAATTGAAATCGGTACATGATGACTGTATCTAATGCTCGCCTAAGTGGAACAAGGACCACAAAAAATCTTACAGATACATACATTTCGGTCACACAATTGCGCATCTCGCGCAACATAAATCCCTTGCCTGCTGCTGCTGCTCCTCCTCCTGCTTAGATTTCTTCTACAGACCTTTGTTGCTGCTGCTGCTACAAGTTATCAAATAAATGAGATTAATTTTTTTTTTCAATGCTGCTTTGCCTTTATTCC